GGGATTTTTTCAACCTGAAGCTCAGTACTATTTTTTTTCTTTCTTTCTTCCGTTATGACTCGCAAAACACTGGCACTAGGTTTGGGGGGAGGGAGAATTTTAAACACGTTGTTTTAGAAAGCTTTTGATATGAATGTTCTTGATAAAGATATAGAAAGATATTTTAAAAAATCTTGATAAAAAATAATTAAATTACTAAAGACTTTTGGACTGTGATTTGTGGAAACAAATCCCAGAACATTGAAAGGTCCCCACAAGAGGAGAAAGAATCAGACCACTTTTTTTTTTCTGTTTAGTGGCATTTTACTAACTCTTCTAGTACCCAAGGTAAAGTGAGAGGCTGAGCCCAGGTGATCCTGGAGATTTAGTCTTTAATCTGCCTAGTGAGAAGGCTCAGGAGAAACCTTTGATTTCTGATGGTTTTCTCCTTACCTTTGTTCACTTCGTTTGGTGAAGGGTTCATCAGCTTTCATGCTCTGCAGCAAGACAGACTGTTAAGTAGAGCTCACAGATTCCTGCTTGGCTGGTCCTAAACAGGAGAACAAATAAGTGAAACAATGCAAAACTTATCAGTGAGCATTCTGCTGAGTGGCATTTGCTATCCCCTTCAAGACTGAGAGCAAAATGCTTAAAAGCAATCTTTTTTTTTTATCTGAAAATACTTTAAGAGAAAAATGAGGGAAAATGGAAATTGCCCTCTACCTTGCGTATTCCCCAGGCATGTAGCAATAGACAGATCTTCATTTCAGAGAGCAGAACAGGTTGGCATTAAGACTTCATTTCATGCAAATGATAATCCAAAACTATTTCTGAAGAAGAGCTTTAAAAAAACAAATGCAGCTGAGCCAGATTCTGAAATACAGTGATTATACTGTGTTATACCATGAACTCTGAATAAAATAAAGACAAAACTATTTTTAATCATTTAGATAAATGATTTTTTCCCTAAATCCTACATTTGCAGTTGTTTGGGTTTTTCTGAGAGAACGATTCCAGATTTTTTTTTTTTAACTTGGACATAGTTGTATTTTTAAACACGGCTTTCAGAAACGCGTGCGTGTGGGATTGCAGTTGGGACCAAAAGCAGGTCCTGGCTTTCTGCCAGGCATTTGTCCTGTCCCTACAATATAGATGGATTGCCAGCGTTCTGGAGAAAAACAACCCTTAAACTTTAAACAAATTACGTTTGATGGAAATAAACCTTTTTTCTTGTTTTTCCCCTCCCATGTAATGACTTGGATAATGTGCTGGCTGAGGAGAAAAGAAGGGAAGAGGAGGGCAGAGAGGGAGCTTTGTGGCTCACTCCCGAGGATGCTCTAGGAAGGATGTGGGGACAGCCAGGAGGCTTTTAAGCTTGGAGTACCCTCTAACTCCAGGCCTTCTTTAGAAGGTCAGCAATCCAGTTATAAACGTCCAGGGTGTTCACTACGTGGTTTTGTAACACCTAGAAAGGCGTAGGCCTTGCCTGGCCCTCGCTACCAATGGCGTCCTGTGCTCTGCTCTGACAGACGTCCTCGTGCCATTCACCTGGTTTCTGCTGGTAGGTGACAAAGGAGTGAGGCTGATGATCAGTTTTCTCAGAGAGAAGTCTAGGAAGCCTAGGACATGGCCTATTTTGCAGAGAAAACCAACCATAGCCATATCTCAGTGTTTTTCGAATTGGTGCTGATAAATCTTTTCTCTCGCTTTCTGTTGCTATGGTGTTAGTTCTGTTCAAAAACAAACCTATGGGTGATCTTGTCAAACGCAGAGACTGTTTGGAGAGGGAGAGAGAGAGAGATGCTGGAGGAGAAAGGAAGTCAAGGGCTCGGATTCCAGCTCCTGGTAAACAGTGAATCAGTGTTTGTCTCCGCAGAGGGGCCGTCGCAGATTTTGCATTGTACTTTCATGGACTTGTGAGTGGCTCCAATATTCTTCTTGAAAAGGCTTCTCCTCTCCTCCCCCAACAAATTTTTCTTTTTCTTTTTTTTTCTTTTCTTTTTTTCTCTCCTCAGTATATAAAAGGAAGGTGGAACTCTTCCAAATCCTGTGCGGCTCAGAAATGCTTGCTTTCCCCAGCGTGGCCTACAGCACAGAGGACTTATTCTTACGGTTCGGTCTTCCAGTCCACAGAATCCTGGATCCAGCTGAATGTCTGTGTGCTTGGAATGTACCTGCTGCCCTTGCGGAGCGGCCTGGAGCGAGCATCGAGTTTCCTACCACAATAGCTGCTTCGGCAGCTCGTTCCAGTCCTCTCGCTGTAGCTCATGATGCCGTTTTGTCCATGAGGGAGGAAACGGCCAGCTGTTACAGGGGCCCTTTTTAGAGCTTTCTGATCTGCACAGTAGGAGCATTCTCACAAATGTGCTCATTGGGTTTAGCAGATGCAACTACCAAGTAGAAGTTATCTTGCTCAGTTGTCTTATGTTTCTGGAAAACAGAAACACGTGCTCAAGATGCCTGGTTGCGCCTTGAAGACTTGTTTCTATTCCTGGGTCAAGGCTGAAGGGGAGAACTGTTTTCTTCTGAATATTTCCTTGCAGACTGAGCTGCAAGTATAGTGAGAATGCAGAGGAGTAACCATTTAATTCACATTTCTGTGCCTCTGCAACTGGGAACTTTTTGAGCCAAGTATAGTGAGAATGCAGAGGAGTAACCAATCTCAGGTAGTTGTTTGCTTCTTACTGTTTTTCAAATGCGAAGTCCTGAAAACAGTTTAATTCACATTTCTGTGCCTCTGAAACTGGGAACTTTTTGAGCCAGCTGAACAGACCTTTTGTGTTGCTGTTTCCTTCCAGCTGTGATAGGCAGCCAAAGAAAAGTCAAGAAAAGCAGTACGATCAACTGAAAATTCCTTAAAAATATTAAGTGTTTTTCTGGAACTTGGTTGCAGAGGTAGAACATCTCCTTTCACGTCCCTAGATCAGCTCCATCTTGGTTCATTTTGTCTTGATTCTGCAGGCACTGAATTTGCGCTTAGCCAGCCCCTTGCTAAAGGACTGCACTGCTCGTGGAAGTTGCTCAGAGGGCCAGACCTTCTGTGAACCTCCTCCCCCGGCCACAGCTTAGCAGGGTCACCCGTCATTCCCCTTGCAGCATCGTCTGCCTTGTTTGTCTTTCCCCATTACATAATCTTTTGGCATACGGCGACTTTGCTGTGCACTTGGAAGGAGGGCCTCCTCAGAAGAGCTATGAAGTGTTTTCCAGAGGCACTAGAACCTGAAAAGTATTTCTAAGATAACTCTATGACCACAACGTGTAACTGTTAATAGGAGCCTAGAGTATATGTGCAAGTAGGGATAACCTCTGCTGTGAATAATGACATTCTTTCTGCTCGCGTTTGCTTCAGGCCAGTTATTCTGCCTGGGCAAGCCCAGCCCGTATGAGGGTACCTATATGGGCACTGCAGTCAAGCTGCATGGACTGGCTGGGCTAGTGGTTGGAGTATTCTTACAATTCAAGATTTTGTTGGTGCTTGAGCTCCTACCCTCATGTCTCATTGATACTTTCCTTAGGGTACTCCTTAATTCAAAGCAGGGTCATCTGTGTAAAGTTGGGAATTTTGTTGGGCACAAGCTAAGCTAATGAAACTGAGAAGACCAGAGTTTTATTGAAATAGCCCCTCGGCAGCCTGTCTTGCCCTGCGCTCCTCTCTTTCCCCTGCAACGAGGACTAGCAGCAGTGGGAAGGTGTGTGTAACTGAAAGGTCATGTGCTCGTGTTAGTTGGTTGTGTACACATCTGTGGTCCATTTCTAAGGTGTGCCACCAAAGCAACAGATCACACAATCAGTTGAAGAGCATTTGATAGTGTGGCAACCTGTGTGCTTAATATTTTGCCATGAGCTGGTTTTGCTCACTATACTGTACAAAATTACAGATTTGGAAAGAGCTTCATAGGATCATTCAAGTTGGAAGGGATCTTGGGAGATTTGTAATCCAACATTTTAATCATACGGGGTTCAACACGGAATCCAGGCTGAATTGCTTAAGGCTTTGTCCAGTTAGGCCTTGAAAATCTTGAAGAAGGGGGATTCTACAGCCTCTCTGGGAGTCTGTGGTGCAAAGTGACTGTCGTCCTGGTGAAACTTCTTGCAATTATTAACTTTATTTATTTATAATCTCGCTGTTTCAGTTTATGACTTGATAGGATGCATCTGAGCCCTCACAGTGCCATCAGCCAGCTCTTAGCACCCTTGTGTGCATCCCTTCGTTTCTGACAGCCTTTTCAGATCGGGATTTCTCAAGAGGTCTCTGACTCAGTCCTCTGCCTGCACAGGTGGGTGCTCTGCCCCTTCAAGCCTGTCTCTAGACGCAGAGGCAGAGGAGACCTTGTTGATGAAGACTGAGACAACGGCAGCGGTGAATACCCGGGCCTTACCTGTGTCCGCTGTCACTAAATCTCACCCATCCATTTATCAGTAAACCTGCTATTTCCTAGTTTGTTCTTCTGCTGCCATATAGCTGTCCCTACAGCAACTGGCTTTGCCAAGATCCTGGGACGCTGGCTTTTGTGGCACCTGCGTTAACTCGCCTGGCTGCTGTTTTCTGCCGCCGTTCAGGAGAGGGCACAGTAGGTGTTTCTTTTATCAGTGCTGTTCATCTCTGGTAGCTCATGCCTTTTGCAAGGATGTGTACGTAAGGGGAAGAAAGCTGAATGAGGGAAATACTGATTCAGAACAGACAAGAAGTAGGGAAAAACCTCTGGATAAAGGGTGCTTGGAATGGCTCTGTTGCTGTTTAAAGAAGTTAGATGTAACCTGCTTGAGATATTTGTGTAATCTTTTGGTTTTGTTTTGTTTTGTTTGACGGCTAACGAAATGCAGATTCACAGGGCTTGAGTGTGTGGGCTTACAGTAACATGCCAAAATAAGGGTGGTACATAAAGTAAATGGCCTCCATGGGGAGCATCACCTTGTACCGTAGGGAAACAGCCTGATCGAACTGAAACAGCAGGAGCAATGATAGAGCAAGAGCTTGGATTCTCCATGGATTAATATGAGGTTTTTCTCTGTTCCTTCAGCTCGACCTGACCAAACCAATTGAAGAGCAGGGCCCTTTGGATGTGATCATCCATAAACTGACAGATGTCATCCTTGAAGCAGACCAGAATGACAGCCAGTCACTGGAGCTTGTTCACAGGTTCCAGGTAAGTGGTTCTTGGCCCCTTCTCATTTGAGCAGGAAGGGGAGCTAGGTGCAGCAAGATCAGTATCCTCTCTGGCATTTGAAACGAGTTCTGTGGCATAGTGCTGCTCTGCAGCTGAGAGCTCTAGCAAAATAGTTGGTTAGTCTGAGATGGACTTGCACCTTTGTATGGGTTTTGCACTCTGCTGGTAAGCTAGAGGGTAGTTAGTTTGCCCTCCATCCTTGCTCTGCTGTCGTTTTGACTGCAGCAGTGCTACCCACGAAGACTCCCCTTGCACTTCTCCACAGCAGAAGCTACTAAATTAACCTGGCCCAGCCCCACTTAGTCTTCCCCATCCTTGGAGTGCTGCTTTCTGCAGTGTCAAGGCTGCTGGGAATTTTTCTGTCCTCTACTCCTAAGAATCCTGTTCTGTTTTTTTTTCCCCTCAAGTTTACACTCTAGGTCAGGAATCACGCCAAGGGCTTAGTGATGCACACAGCTGTTTTTCTGAAGGATTCCTATCAGTTGCCCGAATACTGAAGCACTCACCCTTTTAGGTGGTGGTGTTTATAGGGGGTGGTTTTGATCAAAGGCATATCAGTTTTGTTCTCTTCTTTAAAAAAGAAGCAAAATTGTATAAAATATTTCCATACTTTAGTGAAATATGCTGACATCAGGTGGAAAAACCTCTCATAAATTGTGCAGCTTTGACAAGTTTGCTTTCTCAGGAAATAACATTCTATTTGCTGTACTTAATATTGTGCCACGAGTAGCACAGAAAATATTCTACTTAATGGAGAAAATATTCTCTTTGCTCCAGTTACAAAGCTTTTCTGTGTCCTCCCACCTATGCATTATTCAAGCCTGCACAGGAGACAAAAGATTTACCTTGTGGGTCTGGCCCTCTGGTGCCCGTTCTCTGAATAGTAGGTGACTACTGATCACTAAGTCGTGCAGCATCCACTACCCACAGCCCTTGAAACTTGGAAGTGACTGAAGAAACTAGACAGACCGCAATGGATTTCAGGGGCTTGGGACTCAAACTTTTTCAGAATTTCAACCGTTAAATAATTTGCCTTCACAGTACGCTCGTCCTATAGATGGGAAAAACTGGGAATCAAAGAGGGGAAAGGACACCCGTGTGGAGCTGGTCAGAGCCGACTAAACCTCGGGGAGGCCTGGCCACCTCTCCTGGCCATGCTTGGTGCGTTCCTGCAGGCCGTGTTTGATGATACACAGCGATAACAACCGCTAGCAGCAGGGAGGCTGGCTGCTCCCGCGGCCCCCGGGGAATGTGCTGATGGGGAGCCTGTGCGGGCAGCTCCCAACGACTAGTGTGTGGCATCCGAAACCTGCTTCTGTCATTCCTTCAGTGGAGCTCCAATAGTTCGAATAGAAGAACAGCTTCACTGAGCCCATTGTATTCAATAGCGTAAGGTGATACAGTTTTAGTTTTTCAGGTCTCTTAAGGTCCGGAGAAAATGGTAGTAAGTACAGAGGAGGCATTTGCTAAAAAGTCACGATGAGCCCATATCTTGCTGTTATGTTTTCTACCTTTGTTACCATTTAAATAATTTAATCCTTTGGTTTTTTGCATGGATGAAATCTGGAAGCTTTTTTTAAAAAAAAAAAAGTTAGAAAATGTCTGTGAGAATGATGCTTTTTTATCGACTGAGCATGTACAATAGATTGGGGGTTGAGAAAGATACATTATATGTATTCTTTAATTTAGTGACTTGTTCTCTGTCTTTTTTGATATTGCATAGAACAGAAGAATTATAACTTGATTAGAAATGCAAGGACCTAATAAATGTTTATTAAAACCAGTTTCTGATATTGGGCATGCGATAACCCACCAAGCGAACACCTCCTCTGTCAACAAGAAACAAATACACCCAAAATTTCTTCTAAAATTGTCAGATTCTTCAAAACCATGTATGTTGTAATAGCTTATTTCAAATAATAACTACAGTCATAATTTCTTTTAACCACAGAATATTTGAAATGAAATTACTTTTTTAAACCGTTAGAAATCATAAATGTTTAGTACAGGTCAAACTTGCATAGATAATAGAACATGATATTAGGAAGCATATGTGGGGATGCCCTTTCCATTTTCTAAGTGCTTATGGGGAAGAAAGTACTTTATTATAGTACAGTTTGCATTTTTTTCAGAGTGCGAAATATAATTGAGTTTCAGCACACAAATGCTAACTGCAGAGATCTCAAATACCCTTTTTTTTTTCCCCAAAAAGAGAGGGAGGGGGACTGGAGTTCTTGTTTAAAAGGATGGCAAAACTCCCAGAAATCATAAATTTCTATGTGGGTCATCAAATTCATTTGCTGCTGTCCTGGGTGGTGGCATCAATTTCACCACCTTCATCTCTTGATCACAATATTTAAGCTTTCTTTGGCACTTCAGTCCCACCAGCTCCTCCCTTGGTGCTGTTCACTGCAGCTATGGGAATGCCCTCTGGAAGTCCATAAACCTCAATTCTGGATTGAAGTTAAATTGCTGCTTGGTTCAGGTGTATTTTTAATGGCTGTTTGCTGTCACACTTGAACACAAATCAAAAAATGTTGCAGACTCCTGATTAGAGGGGTGCTCCAACGTGGACAATGTTGCAGCTTTTGCTCTTGCTGACAAATCTCGCTTGAGCTGCCGCATCTCAGAGCAGCTGAGGAATTCCCCTGTGCCCTGTGGGCTGCACGTGGTGTATCCGGCCCCGGGAGCCTCTCGGTGGCCAAGGGGAGCCCCGGGTGAAGCTGGCGCGTCCGCGTCGCCCCTTGCCCCGGTCAGGACGTGGTGCCCGTGTCCCGCCGGGCGGCGCGGAGCTGCTCTCGCGCGTCGCAGGCTAGTTCATTCCTTCTTTAGGAAAACAGTGGAGCTACTGGTTATGAACAGTCTTAAATCATTGCCTTAAGAAATGCTAATAAGAAAACTCATACTATCCTAAAATCCTATTGTGTCTCCTATTCAAGTACAGCCTTGTGTGCAGGTTCAACAATTCAGACTTGCCTCTCCCTCCTCTCCCATTAGAATAATAAATCAAGAGTGTCGTCGTATTCAAGGTGACCCAGGTTAAAGAGGGCACAGTTGTTTATTCCTCTGCTTTGCTGTTTCATACCACTCTGCTGCAGCTCTTGCTACCTTTGTTAATGTTGGAAGTCAGAGATCTTTCTTTTTAGTGGCCTACAGAAGGAAATCACTCAAAAACATTCCCTTAGCATCTGGGGCAAGCGAATTTTAATGCTAGCTAAAGTTTCCTGTCCCAGGTCTTCTCTCCCATGCTCTTTTCCAAGTTAACATCATCTCTTCTCTTTCTTGTTCCTAATTTTTTTTCGTTAGCAAAAAAATCTTAATCTCAAGCGGCAGCTAAAGTAATGACTGGCCATGGGTTTGGGCTGGGGGTTGTGCTTCTTGCAACGTGTTGACTTATGTGTAGATATGAGAGCAGACATTGATCTCGGCGGGTTCTGGAGAGCACTGTCAGAGGCACGTACAGCTCGATACAGGATGTCAAATGCTTTCTGCAGGGTTTACATAGTGATAAAGTGACTTAAAAGTCCATGTAGCTCATGAGCATTCTGTTTCCTGGGGTATTTTTGCAGACCTGTCTGTTGCCTTCTAAGAATAACAGAAAACAAATGGGAGGCAGGTAGAGCTAGTACAGATTTAGCTTGTAGTAAAACAAAACAGAACTAACTAAGCCAAAGATGAGATAATAAAGCTGGAATTCAGTTCTCAGCTCTGTGTTTCTGTTGCTGTTGAATGCTCATGTCTTTCTGTTCCTCAGCTCCCTGTCTCCATTTAATAAAGGTGTCTTTCCTAATGAAGGACTTAATCGTTTCCCATAAATATCAGAATTGAAGAGGTGCTTTGATTCTTACAAAGCTAATTTGCAGTAGGTTGGTGGCAAATCTGAGGTCGTTTACTCTGCTAGTACTGTCCAGCTGGATCGTGTGCTGCCTGCTGTAGGAGGTAATGGTGTTGCTCCCACAGCTGATACCTGTGCAACCTGTGAGCCAGAGAATTCTTTAGTTGCCTGAGGGTTTGTTAATCAGTAAGCAAGGGTAACATTAGCAAACCCCTGTCTCCAGCAGTGCATTCTTGGTGTTTTTCTTCTGGATCTCAGGTAGGAGAGACAGGTGGAAATGAGGATAAGCATCTCAGCAAATCAGATGGAGAAGGAATAGCTCCGTGTCTCCTGGCTTGATTGGTAAATGCAATTGAACTGACTGCTTTGGTCTGAGAAGAAAATTAATTGGGTAAAGAACACTCTATGGACACCGAGTATTAACTTGCCCTGGCATCTTCTGTGCAGAGGACAAACAGTCAATAGCGAATAGATTGTGTTTTGAGGACTTCTCTAAATTTTCATGTTCATTTCATGTCACAGGTGACGGTAGTTTTAGTCTCTTGACAGAGAGAATGTTTTTGAACTGTTGAACGTTTTTGCCTAGTTCCGATTTACAGCCGCCCAGCTCAGCACAGCAAGCTTTGGCCAGACGTGCTCTAGAAAGTCTGTTTCAGGGCTGCACTAAAAAACTTGTCTATTTTTTCTTGCGAAATGCTTGGATCCAGCTGGCTAGTGCCTTCAAGGCCTTCATTTTACTAATATTAAATTTAACCGCGAATGAAAATAATAAAAAAGCCAAGAATGTTAGAGGAGAACTTGATGTTCTTTCTTTTCTTTCTGTCCTTTCCTTCCCTGATGTTGGTTGTTCAGTAAATACTTAGTTGTTTAATATAGCTATTCTTTTTGAGGATTATGTCATCTTCTTGCAAAGTGCAACATAATGCATGGAGCACCAGAAGGGGCTTCCATGACGTGGTTCAGCATTTCCATCCTCAAGTATTTCTTTTTCTTTTTTTTTTTTATCCCCGAAAGTTGTAAATTAGAGAAAATGGCAGTAATTTCCTTTTGAGGTTCTTTCAAGGTTAATAGGAAGAACTCTTTATGGCAGCAAAGAACGACTGTCATAGGAAAATAAACCTGGGTGTTTTGTTTCTGATTGGAG